TGTTTTCACGAAGTGACGGTAGTGAGGAAAATCGTAACGCAAAGTGAATGCAATTTTTTTTCACTACCGACACTTCGTGAAAACAGCGACGATATGTACATACAAGTCTCTCAGTAGTAAATATATATTTTTAAGAGCATGTTTTTATAAAGTATCAGTATTTTCTTTCACTTATACTTGCCTAAATATATATCTGCAACGTGCATTACTTATAAGTGTATCGAGGGATAACGTAAATAGCCGCATCCCTTTATTAGAGGAATTAATTTGCACGGGTTCTCATGAGAAAATGGGTGTATCCCTTACCAATTAGTAAACGCTCTCGTGCTTCTCATCAAATCTGTGTTCTCGATGTTCTAAACATAGGACACCTACCCACTGGACATCCACCCCTGGATAACCACCCCAGTCAACTACCACCTAGGGCAACCACCCTCTAGGACGACTACCCACCGGAACAACTACCCCTGGACAACTACCCAGAGACAACTACCCCTAGGACAACTAACCCGGACAAGTACCACTTAGGACAACTACCCCGGACAACTAGGGGGTAGTTGGTCCGGGGTAGTTGTCCTAGGGGTTAGTTGTACGGGGGGGGGGGTAGTTTTCCTAGGGGGTAGTTGTACTAGGGGCCGTCCTAGGGGTAGTAGACTGGGGATGGTTATCCGGGTGGATGTCCAGGGGTAGGTGTCCAGATACGTCTTATTCATAGGCCTACGTATAACAACTTGATATAATAATCGATTGAGATGAATGTTGAGACTATGAAAGGTATTTTTTGATTCACGGAAACAATTTAATTGATATTAAATTCACCACCATATGCCCGTCTCTCTTTCTCTAGACCCACTTCTTTCTCTCTCCACCTCTGTCTGTATGTTTAAATCTTTCGCTATATATCTATTTATATCCTGCATCAAAAATTTGTTGGCTTTTGATTGGTTGAGAGCTCGTCACGTGACCAGAAATATTTGACCTATTTTTAGAAAGTACTATATGAGAGTACTATTTTGGTTTACTATTTGGGAGTTGAAAAAAAAATGTGAATTTTTTTTTTTTAATTGAATCAATTTTTTTTTTCAAATCTTAATTTATGAAAACAAAATATTTTAAATCTTTTTAGATAAAAATTGACATTTTTTTTGTTCTAAAATTTTTTTTCCCAAAAATGTTTTTTTTTTTTAAATTTTTTTAAATAATTTTTTGATGCAGGATATAAAACAAATATACCATGCCTTCTATTCGAGGTACTGGTTAAACTATGAGCCTCGGTGACTCCAAAAGTAGCATTTGCTTCGGGGCTGCGCCCCTCAGCAAATAGTACTATTGGAGTCACCTCTTGCGCATAGTTTTAACCAGAACCTCTCAAGGCAGTGTATATTTGTATACTATCTACATGTATTTATCTCCTACCTCTCTTCCTCTTGCCCCTTTCTCTTATATTACTTCTATATTGTCTTCATTCCCTTATGATTTTGTGTTATCTCTTTTATAATAATAATAATAGCTCACATTTATAATGCGCCTAATACTACGTTTCTAGGCGCGGAACATATTATTACCCCGGTCTTTTCACTTGCCCAACAATTACATGTACCTCACCTACCCCTATCTCTTTACAATTATTATTTTTTCCTTCTTTTCTTTTTCCCATATATCTCTCTTTATCTCCTATATTTATTTTTTTCTGTATGTAAAGAAAGCCCTCAAATATGTGGTTGATTCCAAATAGAAAATTAAAGCGCATGACTTAGTTTTTCTCTGTTGCTAAGACAATTTTATGCTTGACTTCCTACGTGAACTTTCATTGAGCTTGGAGAGGACAATATCGGAGCATTATATTAAAATGTCAATGTATTAGCACATGATTTTGGGAAGCATTAAGTATTAAGTCTTACACATTACTAACTCTTCCGTATATTTCATGTGTTATCACGAATTTACCTCATTCTTCAGCATTGTTACACCCCCCCCCCCCCCCCCCAGGCACCCATCATAAAGGTAGGCTACATGAACGATTATTTTGTATAGAGAGAATATCGGAATATCAATTTAGATTTTATTAGTATTCAAATTTATTTTATTTAGTGCCAAGGTATCTTACTACAAGGTAAAATAGACGCATAAATATACACAAATCTACACGGTCTATAGACTATCATAAGCCAATTAAAACACTGTATTATTTACTTCAAATCACATGATAGCATGGGTACAATGTGAGAACATCTTCATGAATCCTGGCAAAGATCAGTCAAGAGATGTCGCTCTTCCATGTTACATTAACAAGTAAATTGCGTTTTGCTCAGAAACCACACCAAACTGTTTGTTTCAATCCATCATCTTTTGCAAAAATGCGAAATATTTAACACAACCATTTCCTTTCAATTTGAAGATGTCCTTATGATAATTGTTACGAGTCAATATAAGACGCAACGTATGTTAAATAATATCGTCATAATTTGTAAGCTATACTCAGTACTCTAATCTAATCATTTAGTGACAGATAAACCGTTCAAAACGATGGATTTTGTAATATATATATATATATATATATATATATATATACTTTTTTTTATATCAGATATGCAGAAATTTACAGAACACTTATTTTACGTAAAAAGGTACATGTATAGTATATAACAAGGTAAATACACAGGTAAATCAAAGAACAGACCACTATTCATACTATCCATAAATGTTAAAGGGATAGTTGGGTTCTTGTTTAAGACCGCAAATGCCTTCAAAGTGCATGGTTATTGCTCTTATTCTTTAATATTTATGACATTTCTAGTGCCCTTTAGGATCTAAAATTGCTTTGAAAGTAATTTTGGACCCCAAACTGTGGGAAATTTAGATTAAAGATGATCCTTCCAATTCAGCTCCACTTTAAACAAATACGGGCCTGCTGGCTGTGCGTATTATAATCAACACGAAAAGGCCAACAAAAAGCTAACATTGGCATAGACTGAAGTAAAACGTATAAAGACGCTATTTCGTATTTTAAACGGCTTGTTCAAAATTATTGAATAGTTGTGGGGCTCTACAAATATTAGAACTTGTTATATTGATGGATATTTTAGCCGTCTCTGAACCGATTTTGATCCAACGAAGAGGATTTTGTCATTTTGTCATTTTCATATATGACACTCAGTTTTTCATTATCTCACCAACAATTGTTTTGTGTAGCGCCCTCTGCAACAAAACTCAACTATCCCTTTATCATTTAATATTATATATAGTTTTTTTTTATTATTATTATTATTATTTAATGGATTGAGAGCGAGACGCCCACTATTCTCAGACGCCAAGAATGTGGTTTGGCTGTCATTACCAAGCATGTGACAAGTGAAGAAAGAAAGTGTTCTTAAAAATCCCCTTGTGCACATGACCCCACCAATCCAATCAAGTTCTTTTTTGCACTCTTGAAAAAACACTTCCACCTGTGTATCATACAATATACCACCGGTGCATGAATGAATAATGTTAAATAACTTCCATGACCAAGTATTTAGCAGTCGTCTGAATGAGTTTTAAAGTTTTATACAAAATGACCTTTATCTGCCCATGCGCAGATAGTATCTCCCGGCATCTTTGTCGTACCAATAATGTAATTTTGTCGGCCATCACTTTGAATGTATTACATGTCATAAGCTGTTTCAGCTTATCGAATGGACTTCCTTTATGGCTGATAGAACAACAATACTCGGCTTTACGGTGGGTGTTAGTTAATAAAATACATGTATTTTGAATAAAACATCAACCCATTCGTGTACTTTACAATATACTATAGAAATATACTTTTTTTTATTATTGTATAAATACCGTGGTAATATTTCGTAAGACATCAACGGAGTATTTTTTCTCGCTCGCTGACTTTTTTCTTTAGAGTCTTGCGCATCTTTAAAAAAAAAAAAAAAAAAAAAAAATCGGACCTATAGTTACAAGGTAACGTGACCTTTTGTCTTTGCATGTCAGCCCGAAAATCGCTCATTTTTGTGATTTGTGTACAAAACATATGGAAATGTCATTTTTTCTAAAATTAGATCAAACATTGGTTATTGGGTCTTGTTTAAAGTTTAGGTGGTTGTTTTGGGAGTCAAAATAGTTGAATTGTAGGAAGAAATGAAAAAAAAAAAAAAACAATAACATAAACAAGTTAAAAAAACAATGAAATACATAAGAAAATATCAAAACAAGAGATAACATAAGGAATAAGCTGGCTCTTCCAATTGTTTTTTCGTATTATTTTTCCAAATGGTCTAATGAATATATGTAGTGAAAAAGAATGCTTAAATATGAATAATATAGGATTTATGGGTAAAAATGTGATTTTATGACGTTATTTGCATGAATTACCATAAATATGCAAATGAGGGATTTTTTTCAAAAAATTGAAATTACCATATTGTTCTATACACTTCACTTGACATGCGTGCAAATTTTCGCGGAGATCGGCCCTTTCACGGCCGAGATCTTAGGGGGGGCCATAATGCCCCCCCCCCCCCCCCCCGGCCGCGCGTTTCCGTTTTACACCCTGCCCTAGGCTTTTCTCCAATAAAATTTTACAAACCGACTGGTATTCGGAGTCTAGTCGTCCACATCTTGCCTCGGCGCTCTGCACACCACCAGAACTCTGAAAACGTCACGTAGCGCTAGCTAACTCTCTATACTAGTTGATCTTCCTAGTCGTATCATTTATTTTTATCCATTAATACGCAATACTCTAAGAGCGTGAGGATGCGTGATCAGCTCGCAAAATTTAGCCCAGCGATAACAAAACAATAATATATCGGGAAAACCGTCTTGAACAAGAAGACCCTCGCATCCCCAATTGAAATTGTATAAGCTTTGGCTTCGCTATTCTTGACGTCGATATAAACAAACTTAGACTTCGGATACAGCATGTTTCGTGTAATTTCTTGACGAAAAGCCTAGGGCAGGGTGTAAAACGGAATAGTAAGACTTCAAATAGCCCGGCCTTATTAGGGTTAAATAAACTCAACATTCAAATTGTGCCTACCACCTGACAAAGAAACCCATCATCATCATAGTCCTTATACGAGTACGACTAATACATGTTGTTTCACCTCTATAAACAGCATTATCATAATAATAAAATATATAATATAGTCTATGGTACATCCTTAAGCTCTAACTCCTTTGATTACATCTGGTCTGTCATCAATGGTACTCGATATGTCAGTCTCATCAAGAAGTCGACCACTTTCCTCGTACATTGACAGCGTACACGTCGTCTCAAGATCACTCACTCGTCTTCCATTCTTATGACTACGTCTTTGTAAATCACAGCTCATATCGAACTCGTGGTCGAGTAGGCCATCGCGAGCCCCAAACTCAGACTCGGTGTCATGTTGAGAATGGTCCAGAGATTCAAGTCTAAAGTACACCCTATCAAGGGATTGGATATTGGATAGGTTACTACCCACAGAGTTTTCAAAGTCTGAGTTGTAACTGCTCTTGGATACGACCGTGTATCCACTTTCAGTGCGTTGAAGAACCGTGTTACGCTTTACGGTTGATTGTTTGTTTTCGAAGTCTTCATCTTCGGAAGACGACGCTGATTCATATGACGTGGGATCTAAGACATGATATAAGTTCGCTGAGACTGTTGGTCTGAACTGACTGTCTAGGTCATGGTAGAAATGCTCAGACATCCTTGAAGATGACGTTGTTTCGTTTGGTTCCTCAATGAAAGATTGATTAGGTGATGTTTCAGCAGAGGATTTGGCAAAGTGGACACTCGGCCTGGAGTCACTGAGATGAAACGAAATGTTGGGAAGCTTAGAGCATGAGTATGGTGACACGCTCGACGTATGATGCTTACGCCCAGAAACCGCTGTGTTTACATCAGAATGACTGCGTGATTTACTCAGACTTGTTCTAAAGCTAGTCATCCTTGATGAATGCTTCCCGAAGACATTCGACAGTGGTCGTTTGGGTAGCAATGGTGAGAGGTTAATACGATTCTGTGTAGGTGGGACGTCACTATGTGTATTCAGAGAGGACAGGCTGCTTGGGAAGAAGCGAATGCCTCCAGAATGACTATTTGATTTCCTGAAGGCCCTCTTGTGGTTCTTTGTCACTTCTGTCTTGGCTGAGGCATCAGACATGCTTCTATCCTTAGTCACCAAGCCAGAACTTCGAGACTTCTCCGGATGACTCTTCCTGAATGGTAGCTCAAGTGTGTGAACTACTTTCTTAACAAACGCACTTCTCTTACTAAGATTAAGAAAGAAATTTGAGGGGTGAGATGAGAGACCACTTTTGACCTCATCAATTGATTCGTAGATGTTCGGTGTGGGTCGACTCGGAAGACTACATGCTCGTCCAGATGGACGGAGCTCACTATTAAGACGGCTAAAAGCCTTGGATCCAAGAGTGCAGGTAGCTAGTCTTGGGCGGTGGTTGGAGGTGAGGTGGTCTACAGTTAGACCATGAGATGGACCAGGGATGTCAGGACCATCGGCTCGATTGATGGCCCAAGAGTTTCTGCTGTGATCAGTGATGACGATCTCACATACCGAAGAGCTAGATGATAGCTGACCTGATATGGGGGTTTGTCCAATCGGTGGATTTCTCTGCTTCTTGTTGTGACATTTCCTATATTTAGAGGAATACATTAAATTCAGTTAGAGAAGGAGGAGATGTGTGATGTGAAAAGGAAACATGGATGAAGAAGAGGAAGATAGATGAGGTCGAGTAAGGAGATAGAAGGAAGAGGGAGACAGTCATAATTTTGTTTACTAAGAAGGATGTTTATAGAACATGTCTCTTTTCCTTGATCGGAACAATACCATAACTCTGTCTAAGTCTATTGACAAATGACTTGTTTCTAATTTAGATATTGACAGGTTTTTTTGATCGGTCTCGTCATGACATGCATGAGTGGACCCCGTGCCATCAATAATGTTCTGTCATGTCTCACGATCGCCAGCAGGATAATCTAGGTATAACTTTAGATTGACGATTGGTTTTATTCTCGGGTCTCCAAAATAGCCTTTTGTAAAATTATATATTGTGATTTCAGTCGATATATGGGGGATTCTATTTACATTCATTCTGTGAACAACAATACGAAATACCATAAGATCTGAAATATGGACAAAAATGATTATTATCTTCTATTACATTCATTCAGAACTGTTCTAGCTCAATATTATATTCGTTTCTTAAATACAATGCACACTAAAAATTGTTTTGTTCCATGGAATTGAATATGTAAATTGTAACTTTGTAACTGCCACATGTATTTGCGATCGATCTTAGGTTGCAATTGAACGTAAAGCTGACGTAGAAGTTATGTTGATACCCATGTTATTTGTTTCCATCTAATAGTTTAACTTGAATGCTTACTTTTGTTTTCTATAGATTATGCAATGAATACAGAGGGTGAGAGAACAGATACAGAGGGCCAGGGCTACTAGAAGCTTGGGTATCGCTGAGAAATTTCCTAAGGATACAAAATAAAAACAGGTAATAATGAATTATAGCATAATAAGATGCATAATAAGCATGTTTATGTAAAGGCGCTATATAATTATCAATATGTATGTGTATGTACACCAACAATTATTCACATACACACATATTGTTCCGTTAAGGTCAGAAAGCCTTTTGATCGTGAGGTACACATCTTTTCAATTTTTTGCCACTATATTGTCATGAACAAAACTTTTGTTTCCTTTACATAACATGCTATAGCCATGCGGTTATTTTGATAGGCATATAATAATGTCTTTTTAAAGTTCTTGGCAAATATTTACAGCAGGAGCCCTCTAAAGTCGCTTTGCACTTAGTCTTAGCAATGTGACACTCTATTTAAATAGCAGAAATCACAGGGAAAGAAAACTTGAAATGCCCACTCGGAGCTTCCCTACGTAGCTTAGGTTGCTTTTCCCAACCTCTTCTCCCGTCTACGGAGAGAATCATACGCCCCTTAAAGGTATAGACCTGTTTTGGAAACGCCCCTCTCTCAAAAAATGAAATGGAAGCTCTTATTACCAATAATATGAAAGAATATTTTTTGACTAATACGTGATGATACAAATTTTGCTTGGAAACCGCCTACTAATTGATATTTTTGGTAAATTATTATATCCATCCGGACTGGATAGATATCGCGTCGCCCCATATACATCTTTCTGTGTACAGTGCTTGTAACTTTACCAAGACTGGGCCAAATTTCTTATCATTTTAATGATTCCAGAACCTTGCAGTACACACCAATACTTATATGCTAGATGATCAACCTTTTCTGATCGATTCCACGATGTTTCTTTCGCAATGCAATCACATGACCAGAACTGGTCTATACCTTAACAATCCATTCTCCCCTATTATTTTTTTACGGAGAGATTCTGCATGTGTTTATTGATCTATGTATACATTGATAATACATTGATAATACATTCACAGCTAACCGTTTCACTCTGGCACAGAATATCGCCATCTTGAGACCAAAACTTTAAACAATTCCTCAATTTTCTTCATTTCCGAGGGATGCTCTTACCTTTGCCACTACTAGCTCCGCCCTCTATCGCCGTGGAGGGAACGAGCCCAGAAGACCCGTTTGATGAAACAGACGAAACTGTAAAGCGAATAAATGACGAAACATGAAGAGAATTCGATCCTAAATACAGTTGAAATTGTTTTCTGGGGTGTTTTTCTTCACAGAATGAGAAGTTATTGTCCAGTGGTAATCAGAGGCTTTGAGAAGGATTCATACTAATCCATTACTGCGTTTATAATCATGAAATTACAATGCATATCTACATGTAGGTTCGTGTACTTGTCTTTTCCTCTCTAAAATGGTTGCATGACTCATATTCGGGCCATCGTAGCTCTACGGGCAGGTAATACCAAATTCATTACTTCAACCTGAAACTAAAATCGCAACATAACACTCATCTTCTTGAAAACGGGCCGAGATGGCTCAGTGGAAGAGCAGTAGTCTCATAATTGAAAGGGGCCGGGTTCGAAACCAAGTGGAATCGTTTATGCTATTTCGTAAGGCATTAATATTCATTACCATCACACATTAAAAACTAACATTTTGCATCTCCATTAAAAAAGGCCAAGAAGTGAAACACTTTTAAAATGCTAGATTAAACCAAGAAGTTGCTGGTAACTTCTTGATTCGACCTTTATAGTGTCGGATCCAGCATGTTCAATTTGATAATCATTTTGAACAAGTGTCACGAGAAGTGTCACTTTACGCTTTTAAATACAGATATAACATTCCAATGTTTGGACTTAAGCCCCTCGGAGAGGAATTCAAGACGTTTATAGGCCCCTTGTTGATAAATCACAAGACTTACTCATGTTTTCTTTGCAGTAAGGTACAATAAACAATATTCAACCAACCTATCCCTTAGTTCCATTTTATTTCAATTCGCATAAAAACATATAAAATATAAAAGAAAGATAGATCTTGTTCTTTAGAAAAAAATGTGAATTAAGATCAAGGCTATACCTGTTGGTTTGGTTATCAAGACTGCATTGTTGGTCGTCTGATGAGTGACTGGTGGTTGATATGGTATTTGATGTGTAGGTCTATATGATGGTCGTACTGGTGGTCGTATGGGTGGTCGTATAGGTGGTCGTACTGGTGGTCGCGTTCCTCGTGATGGTATGACCGGGTTGTTGGAGGAGGTCGTAGGGTGTACCACAGATATAGCTGGCTGCGGAAGAACGTCTAGAAACGAAATATTGAATTATTACTTGATCAAAAGTATTAATGGTAAAGATGAACGAGTGTATTTCACAATCTCACATTCAATTGAGATCAGAGTCTCTATCTTTAAGGTACAGTATATGACTGACATCCGTATTCCCTTTTTTAACAAAGCGACGAAAACCACAGCAACTGCTTTGGCTAGTGAAGTTTTTATTAGAACATTCTCATAATTATGGTGGCTTTTAACAATGTCTTGGATTTAATTTATTTTTAAAATAAGATCCCTCTTTTTCATTTTTGGGGACAGGACATGCTTGTTGATTTTCTAAGGAGTAAAGATGATGGTTCATAAGGATGGGAAATTGTTTCACTTACTTGTAAATGTTCTCCCATCCGATAAAACCACATTATCAACTGCAATCACCTGACCACCAGAGGTCATTATGCCTTCAAAGATAATCTATCAGAACAAACAACAGGAGAATATTTTGAAAAACACACTACCAGCGAAATTTACATATTGTATATACATTATATCCATCAGAATGAGAGGTAAAATTCGGCGTTTTGTAAAATAATCGCAAAAATATTTTAAATGGGTTTGTACTGCTGCATTGTCACAGATAGGGGAGAGTTATAATGAATATAACCGTTGTGTCACTTCTCCTGACAATAGAAATCGGAAGAAAACAAATCGGTAAATAGAGGCGTTAAGATACACATCATAAACGCGTGATAGAGGCGCCAAATAGTCATTGACAGTTGTCTAATTTGTTTAAAATTAGTTTTTTATCTATTGATCTGATAATTATGTTATCATTGAAAGCAAGTTATTCTGGATCCATAGTTGCCCTTTAAAGCTTCACCGGTAACTAAGGACTCGATGAGACATCACAGGCTCAACATCCTGATTCATCCTGTTGAAAACTAGCCTTTCGATTAAGAACATCTATCATAAGTCGTGCAGCTTGGTTCTACCAAAGTTTAATGTTCTGATTTAGTTGTTGATGTTGTCAATAGTTGTTGATGTTGTCAATAGTTGTTGATGTAGTTTTAGTTGTTGTTATTATTGTTTTTTTAGTCGATTGTTTATTTGTTTTAGAATTAGTATTCACATATATGAACTACCTAATCTGCTTGACTTATAGACTTGTAGTAGACGAGGGCGTTACTATTTGACTGGGGATACATAGCCCCGGTGCGACACTAGTTTTCTTTGGGACGACATTAATGAATCTACATTAACCTCCACCCAGGTATCAAATGGGTACCGGTAGGAAAGATTTCCTGGAATGCTGTGAGCATTGAAACCGGTAGACTAGATAGACCCTATGTTGTATTGGAGTGCCATGAGTGTCTCGCGTCGAGGATAAGTGCGATTTAAAGAAAATATCCGATATTGTTGTTATTATTATATTACTTCAAGAATGTGATTCTTATCATTGGGCTTACATATTATAATTCATCATCCTTCAAACGATGGCTATACCAATCAGGATAAACTTAATTAATGATAAGGTAGCCAGATGCCTTTAGAATATTAATCGTATTCAATAATAATAATAATAGTGGGTTCTTGTATAGCGCTCATGTCTGTCAGACTTGACACTCCTGGCGCTCCCGATTATTACCCTGGCTTTAACACGGCTACCATTACGGCGCTCTAGCATTTCAAGGAATTAATTCCTGTCAGGTACCCATTTATATCACCTGGGTTGAGTGTGGCAAATGTAGGTCAATTTCTTGCCAAAGGACATTAGTGCCGCGGCGGGACTCGAAACGCGGACCTTGTAATCGACAGTCCGGTGACATATCCACTCGACCACGACACCTCTCCATCGTAGAGACTGGATATGTTCCAAGTATTAGCACGTCACTAGTTATTATCATTGATCTTGTGTTATTCATCACTTGCATCTTTGACTGACAGGTTTCCTTCTCTTACATCTGTAAAATCGGATTCTAACAGGATGAGCAGTGACCGACAGACAGCGCGCCCATGACACATAGACAGTGGCGTAGCGCTTAGAGAGAGAGAGAGAGAGAGAGAGAGAGGGTGCCCCTTATTCGAATGACCAGGTGAAATTAAGAGCAGAGGGACAACAATAAAGAATCATTAACGTATAAGGAGGGCGGAAAATCACTGCAATACAATCAGTTATTAAACGTGTACATGTACATGAAATATTAATGAGAATAACTTTCGATTACACGACCACATTTTGGGACCCCCCGTAGACCCCCCCCCCCCCTTCCAAACCCATTTCGATCCGTTGCATTTCAGATTTCCGTTTAGAAAGTACCAATAAGAAGCAAAGTACTAGCAAATCTCCTGTCTCCTCTAATAACTTCGAGACATTGCCGAATGAAAAAGATTCGATGAAAAGCATCAAACACCAAAATGGCAATTAGTATTTTGTGTATCTCAAAATTGCAAAAACATTAAACTCATTTAGAATTTGAATTCGCATAAGCGATTTTTAGCATATGCTTCTATAATTTAAAGCCCCACTGCACTACTTATAGCTATTTGCGTCCTCTATAGCATAAGTGGTGACCGTTGGTCCCTCATGGTCCTCTTTTTCTTATGTTAACTGAGAGCTGATTTGATGAGATAATCACCTGTCAGTGACCATGCAGGGAGGTCTAATCCCTCCTGGCCAAACTAGTGAAGATAGGCTTTGACTGAACTCCAGCGAGTGTGGAATGGAGTTCAATGCCTATCTTGCTATAAAAGTGTCAATAACCTCTAGATGTTTATGCTTAAGATATTTTTATAAAAACCATTTGATATCGTTGCTAAGTAAGAAACAACAGTATACCAGTCACTTGATATCTTGGAAAAACATTTACAGATTCGAATCAGTGATTCAACTTGGAAATGGGGTTATTGTCTCAAAATCATTTTACAGATTCATTCATGGAATACAGTGATTATCTGACTAAACAAATGAAACGCTGTAACGCGATAATTTGGTTCTTCTTTTATAAAAACGGGGGATTTCGATTCATTCTAAAGATAGGATTCCCCAGTTTCATTAAGGGGTAAACTTGATCTTCCGCCGAGTTATCTGAAGAAACTTGACAAGCATTTATCGCAAGAAGACCCTCTCTTCAAGTTGTGGTGCAGGTGTTTTTTGTTCGCCTATCTAGCGACTCTCGGGAGTAAGCTGATGATATTTTAGGAGCCAAGCAGCGGACTTCCTCGGCAAGTCAGTAAGATATAACAACTAGATTGCACCTTCATCTGTTTATGGTAGCCCAGAAGATTGACTGACAAGCTAATGATTTGCACTATGCTAACGAAAGAATATTAGCGTATAATATGCCTGATTTTTACTTGTCTAATAACAATAATATTACTCAATTTTTATATAGCGCTTATTACAATCACCGAGCGCTTCCAAACTGCAAGAAACTGCAATGTTTACAGTTCCATTAAGAAGTTACAATAGACCGATGAACTAAAATGTTCAAATGTATGCATACTTTTTAAATAAAGGTTGTTCTTGACAACCTGGAGGCTATCTCGAGGCATGCCCGACATACCAACAAATAATATATACAGACTGGATTCCAGGTATTGTAGTTCATCAAATAATAACAGGTTAATGGAATAACCTCGTAACTACATGTAGGTCCCCAAGAAATAAACACCATAAATGTGAATGTGTTACAAAAACGGTCTTTTCTCTTAGAAGGGACGTCATCCTCAAGTGCTTTCGATGAAAAATTGTATGCTGGAGGACTCAATACGTGAATTTTTAAGAAGAAATCTATTTGGGAATGGATGTGGGTTATCTGGGACCAGCTTAATGTTCGAACGGAATGGCTTCTGTGATATTGATGGTAAGTTTCATTGAGCTTTCATTTTTTCACGGTAACGCAATCTTTTCCCAATAATGACAATAGTGCTTTGCCCAACAAAGGTAACTCTAGCCTTTCAACATTCTCCCTTGAAACAATAGTATTTGTTGAAAAGGCAGAACATATGATGTAGACATGATGAGCTTGCCTTGGCTTGTTTGACGTCACAGTGCAAGTTGTAAGGGTCGATAGACACCGTATCAAGACTTGTTCTAGATTCTTGTAATCCTTTCAGGATTCTATAGAGCTGCTTTTAGTTTTAGTGATGAAATGTATACAAGTGTGAAGTCTAAATAAGGGTCATATCTCTAGTCCCTGTCTATGTAATCAGATACCAGTTTGAGAGCAGTCGAGTATATTGCCCTGTAAACCTTGCCAAGTCCATCGCAAGGGCAGTACCGTTTATTTGCCCGAAGCTAGTGATAAGATAGGTATTAAAAAAAAACTTTAAAAAACAACGCGGTAGCTTTAGTTTGGTCGTCTTCTGAAACGATGAACGTGATTAACCCGCATGATCGGTTTAACTTCCATAGCTAAACCCTATTCTGACTAAATAACCAATTTTTAAAATAAATATAGCATCAGTTTGTACTGCATCAACACGGATCAAGGAAAATTACGTAATTAGAATTATATCAACAATGCTTTGGCAGCTGTAATCTACATTTATAAAAATTATTTAAAATGATGGAATACTGTGTGAATAAATGGTTTATATCAATCTTGTTGAGGCATAATTATCCTTATTGTCTTAAAGATCGTAACAGCTTTTACAAAAATCAGGTAGAGTGTCGTGGTCGAGGGTTCAAATCCCGACACGGCACTATCCTTTGGCAAGAAATTAACCTGCACTTGCTACTCTCCACCCAGGTGTTAAAATGGGTACCCGGTAGTATGCGACCGTTATTGTTGGTCATACAGTTTTTGAGCGTGAAGTAACGCCTGGCTGGAAGTGGAGATTGTGCATACAGTGTGTACGGGCAAGCACTGAATCCAATGACCGTGGTAATAGTATATCTGTAAAGCGCTTAGAGACATCCGAGATGTATCAAGAGCTGCAATGTATATAAAAGCTGAATATTAATATTATTATTATTATTATTAGCAATACCCTATCATTTGACCTTTAAAAATCATGCTCGAATTAGTTTATATGACATCGTCATCCTTAGCGTTTCTAGAGCAGAGCTTGAGGGCTAACCCTCACCCCCCCCCCCCCCCCATTTAAACGAGGCACATGCAGAAAATGAATGCAAGAAACCCAAACTGCTTCCAAAGCCCGCAAAGCCCCCCCCCCCCCCCCCCCCCCTCCCCCTCTCGGTCCTCGATACATTTCTTTGATTATCAATAGTTGATAAACATGGCTCTTTGAATTGCTTTCGGTTTATTTTTGTTGTTGAAATCCTTTCAATACTTACGCTAAAGGTATTCAAGCAGTAAAGAGGTAAAATAACCCCGTGCCATTCTCCTTTCTCGTGTGAGTGTGAATTATCAGTTGATTTCCATATCTCCTTATTATTGCAACCTGTAATCAAAGCAAGAGAACAACAATCATTTACTTTTAATATTAGTTTGCCCTCTCTTAGTTGTCTAAATGGTTTCATTACCGTATATATCTTATACTTGTAAAGCATACATTCGTATACATCCTTACATTGCCTAATGTAGTTGATACAACAACGTTTTTAATATAAGACAAAATATATAAAACATTCTACTTTCGAGAAGTCATGCTGTTCATCAATTTAAAGTTTCGTTGAAGACGATGTGTACCATTGTCAGTTTCTTTAATCCTGAATATCCTATACACACAAGATAATTCTAACGAGGTTTCTACAGGTTTATTAGATCCCTTCACTTGATCTTTATAGTGTGTTCTAAATCCCATATGCCTAGTGAAATCAACTTTTAATAATTTCCACCTTTCCTCTTTCTTATCCTATTCGTTCAATTGTTCACGAATATTCATGTATTTCCTTTAAAGTATCTTGAAATTCGTTAGCAAATGAACCCTGTAATACGAAAACATTACATATTTTCGATGAAGTAAATTAAAAACTGGTATAGATGTAACTACCTTTTATACGGAGCTGTGGTAAAAATCCATCTCCTTCTTTCTGCTTCGTTTCCCATATGTAATAATAGAATGTAAGAGTAGCAACACCATAGTGTGCTTGCATGTTGGAATATACACGGATGCTCTGCCAGCAATTCTGTGGACAGGTTATACCGACGTAGTAATCTGTGGAAAGGTTTTGAAAATCAACAAATGTTTTTATTCGTATTTATTAGTGCGATTAAATTGATTTATCAGTATACAAAAAAGAAGAAGAAAAAAAGGAGAAAAATTGCAAGAATTTCAACGTTTATATCGGATTATATTTATCGTCGCTGTTTTCACGAAGTGACGGTAGTGAAAAAAAATTGCATTCACTTTGCGTTACGATTTTCCTCACTACCGTCACTTCGTGAAAACAAGGACGTTATAATGGAAATTTTTTTCAAGGATTTGTTTTTCTCTTCTTCAAATTACACAAACGAAGCATGCATCATACGCTTACATACTTGTTAATATATATATATATATAAAACTACATTAAAGCGGTTAAAATGATCAGTATACAAGCACCTTTAAAACTTAGGCCTATTTAAAAATCATCCTTTAGATTAAAAGCTACTTGTAGCTACATGTAAACACTATTGCCGTGGGCGATTTAATTGGTGTGTTCCTTTCTGAAACTGCTTTGATCTGGTTCATCACAGGAGTAAATACGATGGGAGTTTGATAAAATATTATTTGAAGCGGTCAGCAGGTAGTAATGACATTGAGTCATGTCAGAGGATGGAAAACCATTTATTTAAATGATTTGAATTATCCGTTCCAATGTTGTATTTCTAAACTACAAACTGACAGTTGGGACTACGTACGTCACTTGATGTTTGTAAAGGAACACATATTAACCTTTAGTCTATTATGTATCGCTATTTGCTTGCCATTTGAATTATTAAAGTTAAACGTTATCATCTTGAGTGTTATATATCATTGATTCCATAAATGCACACACCCACACACACTTTAAAAGTAGGCCTATATTAGGTTTTGTTACATGTTAGAGGTATTGCTTTGACAGCTCGATCAGCATCCATAGTGTTCGTTTTGATGGCCATGCAATACCTCATGAACCTATTTGCCGTGCTGGGATTCGAACCCTCAACCCCCGAATTGAGAGTCAAGTGAATGAACTATTATATAACCTTCAGTACATTTACCTTTAGTTTTTGGTGATCGGTATATTTTCCATCCTTGATTGGCGATACCTGATGCAGACTGGGCTACGATGGTTGGATGACATCGTAGTGCATTGTTGAAAGTACAGTACTGTTTCCCTAAAAAAAAACAATAGTCATGGCTTATCAATCAAACTAAAGAATTTCAAGCGTCTTGAATGCAAACTTTAAACATATGATTGTTTTTTTAATCCATCTCTAACAAAAAAGAGAGAATGGAAAGTGAGAAGTGTAAAATGACGAGAAAAGATGACCTGTGGACAATTTCCTGTCCATCATATAATCAGTACCCTTATACAATTTATTTTCTAAGCAAGATCGGTGCCCCCCCCCCACAAAAACCAATAATCTTTCCAGTACCTGCTCAATCGTGGGGGGGGGGACGTACGGTACGCCACTGCATGCTTACGACCATAATTTTAAATTCGTATACAGTATATTAGGGGTGAAAATATGATCAGAATGCGTGAGTCCAATGGGCAGGATCAAGCCATCGTTAAAATGCTTAATGGCTTTAAATCAAATTAATCATTATGATGCTGATCCCTAATATTCAAGGTTGTCTTCATTGTCTTGTTTTTCGTGAGACGCACTCTGCAGGCTATCGGGGTCAGCTTTTATCCTCACCTTCTAACAGAGCAGGCGTACCTAAAGGCACACGGCTAGGTCTATTGTTTCCTTGGGCGTTATAAATGAAGCCCTAGGTTTAGATCATCACAGGTCAGAAGGTGGAAATTCGTAAATATATTTAGCCTCTAATGATGTTTACAAAACACTAAAGCCTACAAGGCCATTGATCCTAACCGGAGTGTATAAGAGACAATTAAAATGACGTAGTGGAATTTTGGCAAACCCTCAATTTTCTTGGTAAACTGCCTTCACACAGCCTGCTTCATTGCCATAAATTGTATTAATCATTATAATATTAATCCCTAATATTCAAGGTTGTCTTCATTGTGTTCGTTTTTCGTGAGACGCACTCAGCAGGCTATCGGGGTCAGCTTTCATCCTCACGTTCTACCAGAGCAGGCGTACCTAAAGGCACACGGCTAGGTCCATTGTTTTTCTTGGGCGTTGTAATGAAGCCCTAGGCTTAGATCATCCCAGGTCAGAAGGTGAAAATTCGTAGATATATTTAGTCTCTAATGTTGTTTACAAACATTATATTAAAGCCTACAAGGACATTGGTCTTAACCGGAATGTATGTGAGACAATTATGACATTGTGGAAACTTGGCAAACCCTACAAGTTTCTTGGTAGACAACCTTCACACAGCTTGCCTCATTGCCAAGTAGAACGGAAACTGTTGACCATTGAACTAATTAACAGGATTGACCATCCCACTGAGTGACCCTAGACGAACACGTTTGATCATATTATAATTAATTGCGTAATTCACATTACTGATGAGTAAACAACAAGTCAGTTCACCATCACAACAAACACGAACTAATAATAATAACCGATATTTAAATACAAGTACTGGTAAGGAAGATTTACAAAATTCCACTCCTATTCACCATGAATGTTTCATCGTTTCAACTTGCTATTGAGGAAAACCGGAAAATTGATGTGAGAAAAGCACAATTATAGGTCATAAAGTAACCCTTTTTTATTGTACAAGTGATTATTTGCTTTGAAAAAGAAATAATCGACAAATTCAGATCAGAATTTCCCGAGATATGTTAAATTTGATCGGGGCCGAGGTTGAAATATAATGGCATTAGTGGAATTCTGAATTAGGAGTTGAATAATTATGTTAGATTGAACATACAATGCATGCAATATTGCTCTATTCGGAGTCATTATTTATTAAAATGGCGCTGTTCTTCCTAGAAGTAAGAGAGGCGGTCCAGGTTTCTTCCTGTCTCGTCCTTTTTCCCTTCCCTTTCCCTTTCCCTTTCTCCTTACCCTCTTTCCACGCTTTCTCTTTCTTCATATTGTATCATCACTCAATTGTGGGAGGGGGTCATGAAGCCGATAGCTACGTCACTGTGAAAAGGTTAAAGGAATGAAATCACAGGTGAGTGCTTCATCAGTGTTTTTTGTTGAATTACAGATGTATGTACTGTACAATCGAGAACGATAGCCAGTTCAGCCTCAGATAACTGTTGATAGCTGGTCACACCAGCAGTCGCTGTAAGGAAAGTCCCAAATAGGCTAATCAAAATTGGTACGCCGCTGCTCAGATGATGTAATTATAACCAATGTATTTGTTTTTGTTTTTACAAGTGTAACTAAAAATGTCTAATACATGTAACACAATACATTAGCGAACTCGCAAGGTGATGGTATTCGGAGAAAGATGACATTGCACGAGGTAAAAGCAAATAGATCTATAAAAAAAACAAGCCTGAACCTACCAGAAGAAAAATAATGAATGAAAATAAACCGTAAACAGCACCAAGTGTTACTACACTGCTCTCTGTCAGTTCAAGGATCTACTCTAGGCAGCTCATATTTTATGTTTTGAAGGATCAGATGGGTTAATACAACATCCCTGCACCTTGGACTATCAACAGTTGAAATCACAGTAGGAAGAGGTTAATAAGGTTTTATGACCCCCAGATTTTTAATTCCTTCATATCGGTTCACATCAGACTGCTAAAGAGCGGCATGTAAATTGATTGGAACATTTAAGAAGCCTAAAATGCCGGGAGGGGCTTGCAAATGTGACAGCCCTTCAAAGCTTGTATATTATGTGGAAGGATTAATCATATTCAACGCAGGATTGATAGGGACGAATTGCTGATTATCAACAGTCGTTTGATTTACCTAATCTATGCTAATGACTTTAAAATTGAATGTCAACCAAATGTCCATGCATCAGTCCCACTCCTTCGTAAAACTTGTTCCATCCGCCTTTCATTAATAAACTTTAAATGGCCTATGTTTAAGATCTGTACATGCATAATTTCATTTTATAGTATAAAACCTTATACATATACACATCAATCCTTTGGGGAGTACAAGGTTGGGATCCAAAATCAAGTTATAATCATCAGCAAAGTAATATAATTATAATTTGATTTCGATACTGACATGAACATGCCTTGTAAACTGGGCCACACATGTGGTGATTATTCAGATGAGAGAAAATATCGAAATAGAAATTCTCTTGATATATATAAAGCATTCTTCATATTTTTAATTAGACAGCATTTGAAAAGATTAGGTGGACAAAATGATTGTAACTTTATCATTATTGTCCAATGGTAAGCATTTAAGCAAAAATTTATTGTTTAATTGATGCATAATATTCTTTCGAGGAGGAGTGAGGGATTGTTCATGTATTTTCAGGTATTGTTGAAAAAGGCGAAGACCCAAAGTAACGGGTTACGGGTAACATACATTCATACAAAATCTCACAAAGGAGTCTCTTCGATTAACTTGCTTATATTAAATTGCATATCAAGTATTAACATAATGTACGAAATGGGCAACATTGGTAATGTTTAAAACCAAATCGCACCCATCAGTATGTAAAGATCAAATCATTTAATTCATACACTGTACTTTGAAAGTGAAGATTAGTGTAAAAAGGTTCCGTTTGTAAAGATATGATATAAGTACAATGTGTATTCAACCTTCAACCTGTTTGTAAATGTTTAGACATTACTGTTTGATGCAGGGAAGTGATATTATTATACTTCAAGGATGAGCTTCAAAAGAATTAGACATTTCTATCTGTCACCTCAACCGTTTTTACTGGTACATGTCTGCATTTTATTTAGCAATCACGAATGAATAAATTAATATAACTCTTCGATTGTGCTTGTTTCGTTGTAATATTCCAAAAGTTTTGTTTAAATTTATAAAGGTATTTATTTTAATTTGAAATAAGAAAGGCAGTATATTTGTGCAGATGAAAGCTAGTAGCTAGTAGCCCTGAACCGAGCTTGAACTGAGAGGCGGAAAACCTCACTCTCGAGGGAGCCTCCCGGTGAAGCAAGCCAGGCAGACAGTAATTCCTCTATCCACTCTCAATTCTCAACATCATATCCTGCTTTCAATTCATTCTGTGAACATTTTACTATCTATCGGCCCCTTCCTTACAGCCATCTTTATAAATTTCGTACCCCCGACTTCTAAGTAATTTGTTTAGATAGCTGTAAATGAGATGGCGAATTCTCGCGTTTGTGACCGATGCAGGTCGAATTTAATGGTGACAACAAATGAAAATATCGCATTAGAGCTGGAAAACAAATTTCCTACGTGATTATACAAACAAATTCATAAACCTCTGCCCAATTGAAGCATTTGTTTTATGATTTTCATGTACAAAAGTGGGATCGCCGTAATGACCCCGTAAACTCGTAAAATAATAAGATATGGCATAGTTATGATTCAGATTTTTAATATTTCCTTATTTATATTATCCTTTTCCTGTTCAATGAAATAGGTATCTAGTTTGTATATCAGACATGTCCGCCATGAGTTCGTTTCAATCATTTTCACCATCAGCGGCGTATTCAGAACTCGGCCTCAGGTGGGGGGGGGGGGGGGTAAACTCAGCTTCCTTTTGATATGGGGTGCTAGTTTACGTACGGCGAGGGGGTGGGTTGAGATAACGCCCAAGATGACGTATCTTGGGACGAAAAAGCAAATTCGCCTTTTGGGAATGTGTCTAGATTTTCATGGGTTCAAAGTGCGATCGCACACTTATTAACATATAAGTTGGCCCCATTTTTCTTTCCGTGATCGGAAATCTGCAGGACGGGCAAATTGTCCCCCTTACGTATTAATACGTAAGTGCCCATCATGGGTTGGGCTGTCCTAATGCATTCGTATATCGTCTGGTATGAAGCTATCAAGCATGAAGGCATTTCCTTTCGTAAAATGTCAACAATAGATGTGCAATTATGTAATAATTGAGAGTAACCACTTCCTGAAAAGCTTATTAGAATTCATTTCCATAGTTATTGCCTGTAATTGAATGATAGAAATCACAAGTCGTGATGGAAATATGTATGTGATGAATGACTTATCCCATACAGACAAAGACTTCCTAGATCTAATTTAGAATATTGAATTTACTGTCGTTGAGTTGATAATATGGATATTGATTTAATTCATTATTTACTTCCGTCGAGTTGTAC